GCCATGCCGCCATATCCGCTACCGTCATAATTGTGCCTCTACAAGCATGACCACCACCGCCATAGTGACCGCCTCCCTCGACCATGGATTGGAGTGGTGGCATAAGAGAGAGAGAGAGGGGCGTAATGTATTTGTTAAGGGGGCAGCTAAAAATAATACTATTTTTTTCTCACTTCAATATCACAAAAAAAATAGATAATAAATAGGTGATGACATAAATACCCTTAATGAAAATCAATAGCACAAAAACATTAAAAATCTCATTTTTCTTTCTTCAATGCCAAACACACAAAATCCCTCAAACTTTGCTCCTTCACAAACCCCTCAACCTTCTCTTCTTCTTCCTCCTCACAACAAACCCTCCTAGAAAATCTCAAAAGTAAATAAATCAAAACCTCACATAACTTACCAAATGGAGTCAAATGACAACAAAATGGTAGTTTTCAACCAAGGAGAACCCATTAAGGTATGTATTATCATGTCTTTTTTGAGATTCAATGTCGATTTTGAATTTTTGTTTCAAACCCGCCTACAATTTTTGACACATACATGTCAATTTTTTTGTCAATTTTCAATACCAACTTGTCGAAAAATATATTAATTTTTGTTTCTTAAGCAGTGATTTTTCGACACATACATGTTGAATTTTTGCGAAATTTCGATATGTTGGTGTCGAAAATTGACAAAAATTCAACATGAATGTGTCGATAATTGTCGACGGGGTTAAAAAAAAAACTTCAAAATCGACTTCCAAGCTCAAAAAAGACATGGATACGTACTTTAATGGGTTCTCCTACCATGTAAACTACCATTTTGTTGTCTTGTGACTCCATTTATAAGTTTTGTGAGGTTTTAATTTTGAGATTTTTTTGAGGTTTTGTAAGTAGATGAAGAAGAAGAGAGAGTTTAATGAGTTTGGGTTTGGGGGAGAAGAAGAGGGTTTTTTTTCTTTGATATTGAAATGTGGAAAAATAAAATTTGTTTGTATAAATTGTATTTTGTTTGATGAGGGTATTTTAGTACTTTGCTAATAAAAAAATTATTTATGATATAATCTAAGAAAAAATGTAAAAAATTCTATAAAATATGGAATAAAACTTAGTGGTGCTGAAAAGAGAAAAAAATTGATATTAGTTTAGCCGCCCCCATATGTTAAATTTAGGGTCTAAGAGCAAATTATGTATCAAAAAAGGGCTTTAATTAAGATATAGGTCCCTAGTGACAAAACTTATTAGAACTAAATGACAAGTCCAACTAAACCTTTGTTACACATCATTCATAAAATCCATCTCAACCCTTTCACTCACAAATTCGAAATCTGCATTAAGTAAAATTCTACATTTAATATTATTATTTTACCATCTAACATTGTTTTTAATAGAAAACATGTTTGTCGTTTTTTTTTCTTCCTATTTTTTCATTCCAGCATTTTTTGCACTATTAATGTTTTTCTCTCTTCATAATATTGAAAATTAAAAAAAAAAATTATTTTTTAAAATTCAATTTACATATTTTTTAATATTTTTTAATTTTATATGTTTTTAATATTGTAGTAGACTATCATATAGTACGTGTACTATAGCATACTATGGTGTACTATGGTTTACTACGGTGTACTGTTCCAAACCCTAGCAACAAAACAACTCTCAGCTGTCGCTAAATCCTAGCCGCCACCAACTTCTATCCACCAAATCCTAACCGCCAACCAAAACCCTAGCATCGTCAAATAGCCCTAACTTGATGCAACCACCTCTCACCGTCAATCTAACCTCACACCACCGTCTCAAATGGCCATCTACCACCATAACCATCCCTTCTATAACCACGACAACTGCTGTCTCTCTCAACCGTCATGAGCCATGAACTGCCATTGCCATTTGCAAATCCGTCGTTCTCTGTCGCCGCCACTTACCGTAGCCATCACCATAGCCGCCATAAATGAGTGGTGAGTAAGAGAGAGAGAGAGAGAGAGAGAGAAAGAGAGAGAGAGAGAGAGAGAGAAAGAGAGAGAGAGAGAGAGAGAGAGAGAGAGAGAGAGAGTAAAAGAGGAAAAATAGATGTGATTAGTTTTTTTTAAGAAGAATCTGATTAGTTAGGGATATGAGTCATATATTATTTCAAACTAGGGATTTGATTAAAGGATTAAATTTAATGTTGTCATACAGTACTTATACACCCGCAC